TAGCCATCCGATTGGTTATCAGTGTGTACAGAAGAGAGGGCGTCCTCGGCTCTCCTCGTCTGGAAGCTAAATTACTAATTTATTCTCTCACCCTGAGATCGAAAGCTCATTAAAGCAGGGCAGTGGCTTTGTCAGAAAGAAAAGCAGCAGAAATAGACCTGTGACCCATTTCGGGTTTAAATCTTGAAAGGAAACACATATTGTTCACCGGCAACAGTGTCCTGTGTTCCATCAGGAATGTGCCGACATAAGAGTGGTGGTAGTGTTATTGTACTTACCAAAGTTAGAGCCCAAATGATATCATAAATCATTTCTGATAAGGAGTTTTTAGATGTATTAATTAGTATCAGCATGAGCTTGGTGTCAAAGCCTCAATAGGGATTATAAACTGTTATTCCAATTTATTTCCAGAGTTGGTCTTAATTACAATAATATATATATATATTTGTATATTAAGTTGATTTATAGGGCTTTGCTTGACTCGACGTGTGTTCAACATGTGTTCGTTTATTTTACATACTTAACTCCTATATCAGCTGTTCCTGCGGTGGAAATGCAGCTACATGAGTCTCATGTTTTAATGCGTTTCTTCGTCATCTGTGATGTGATTTCCACACAGTCGGAGAAAGTAAAAGTGTGCGTCCTGCTCACAGTTCAGTTGTACAATCTCAACACCCCCACAGAGCGTCTCTGCTCAACAGTCAGTCACAGAGGACGGCGGTAGAGGAGGTTGTACAACCATCTGGTTCCAAAATGGTTTAGCCGACTTTCACTTACAGTCAGAACCGGAGCAGAAAACGTTGGAGCAGCCGCTTCCCCGCTGTTTGGCTTCATGCTGCCCTCCATTAACTACCACTCTCCTCTGTTTCCATCACAGCTAGCTTTATGGTTTGTGGTCATTTTGAGACTCGGTTTGTAAAGTTTACAGCCTGCCATGCTGTTGCTCTGTGCACAATGGCTAAAAACAAAAGTGCAGAGATTTGACTGACAAAATGCTGTTGATTCCAGTCTTTTCAGGGGCATGCCTATTTATTTGTATTGCAATTAATTGTCTTATTTATTTGGAAACTTTGTATTGTAAAATATTTCAATGTATACTTGTACTGTACACACTGTACAACTACCCAAATGTGCTGTGATGGAAGGTCTGGTGTTATTGTTTTGTTTGTGAAGGCATCCCTTCCTGCGATTATGTGATGATTATGTGACAGGATGTTGTGTTGCCGCTACTGATAAGATGGCTATTGGTGCACCTTTCTGTTATCGGTGATCAGCTGATATATGAGGTCTGTTAGTTTTAGTATTGGGGCTGCACAATTAAGCAAAATATTGTCAAAATCGCAATATGACCAAGTGCAATATGCAAATCACAGAAGTAATCTGCAAACCGCAGGAGCTGTAAGGTTTTGTGTCAAGGTAAAGTGTGTGACAGAGCAGCATTATAATGAAGTGCTGTAGTGCTGCAGAGGAGCCCTGGTCTAAAAATCTTGTTCTCCTGATTTAAGAAAACATGTTTTTTTCGTACAGAAAATGATTTCTTAAATCATTCCCACATAACCATGAATCGCAACATCTGTCAGTATAATCGCAATATGATGCTTTTACTATGTCGTGCAGCTTTAATCAGTATGTGTTAATATTGTACTATTCCTTTCTAATTATTCTGAAAAATGGTGATAAAACAGTGCTGGACCAACTGGTGAACCCAAACATGTAGCTATATTCATCATTTTTAATTGTCATGTATTTAGTACATAAAAAGATTGTTAGTGTTTAATTTATTAGGCCCATAAATGTCTATGTGCTCTTGTTAATGAACAGCCGAGTGAACCAAGTGATTAACTAAGTAGATAGTTGGATTTGATTGCTGGATGCTGCCGTGGACAACGGCTAAGTTTAAATGTTTAAAAGTTTTGTTTTTTTTCTTAATTATTGTAGATTATTTGGTTATTTTTTTCTTAATTAAACTTCCAACTACAAACATTTTGGCACAAGGCTTATTTAACAAGTTACATTTGGGTCCAAGACTAAAGAGGAAGAAACCAATTTTTAATCTATAGACCTTGATTGTACACAGGCATCTCGGACCTAGCTATTGCGTAATATTAGGCAGCTACTGGTCTCATGATGTTATACCAGAGTGGACTCTTTGAATAGAAAGGATCAGCCATAATGCAGGTGCTGCGGCAGCGTGGGTTACCGGATTCAGTCAGTCATTCTGAAACCATCCTCATTATTTTCATCCTCCTACTACTCTTCCTGTGAGCCGAGAGACCTGGAGCCCAAAGATGTTGTCATTTCCCCAGTGAGCCAGTCTGTGCTCAGCTTGCCACAAACTACAGGATGAGCTCATACTCTATTACTTATTCATAGACGCCGTCACACAGGCTGACGCAACCACAGACACACTGGCTAAAAGGAGGGTGGACAGGCATGCTGGCAGGCCCAGGCTGGTAGCCATTTACCCGAGGAAACGGATCAGCAGGATGCAGTTGATAATGCAAGAACAAAAAACAGCCATTCTGATATTTTTCCTTGTTACATCCTGCAGAGCAGCTGCTTATCTTTTGTTGCTGTCTGTCTGTTTGTCGCATCTTGGCTGCATCTTTTTCGGCTTTGTGTTTGAACTACAAAATATGCTTGAAACTGACAGCTAGACACGTGGCGCTTGCTTGCACCACTGAGATCTTTTTCAACTTTTTTTCCCTGATAAAAACCGCCTTTGGCCTCGTAGCGACCGATGGATGCTGTTTACTCTGCCAGACCATGTTTCATCCCGTCACTGGTTTGTTTTAACATGCTGGGGTCCTTTTGTTTGTCTCAGTGGTTTCATTTATTCAGCCTGTTCTTGGACTGACGGCTGCTTTTTGACTGCAGGCGCTCTCTTGTTTTGGGTTTGTGAATCAGTCAAATGTTCCCCTCCAGATCACAGTGGAAATATGACTCCAAGTTTCAATGAATCACTTATGGTGGACCTCAATGTACAGTGGTTGCACAAACAGGAAAATATTAGACTGGTAATCAAATTGAATTTCAAATTAGTTCACTTTAGTGCACTTTCTGCGTGTGTACTTACGACCTCATCCACGCTCGTTGCCATTTCCAACGCTATTTTTTATGAGTGTAGCAAGGTGCCAGTGTAGATTATGAAGATTAATCTCCCCTACTAAAGACTGATTGGTCTATTGTTTCTCCAAAGAAAATATGAATTTTCATTCTTAATTTTCAGGGGCATTTTCAACCCTGAGTTGAGGGCAGATTTGCTCTTGAGCTTGGCCAAAATTAGAACATATCAAACGAACATATCAAAATGGTTAGTTCATTTTATGTGTTGTTATGTTGATGTTTAAAAGAAAATCCATCTGTTTATGTGTCGTTATTGGATTTTTTAAACTTATACTTTTCGATAACCAATATCTACCAGGCTACATTTTGCCAATTTCTGATGAGTATAACACAGTATTAATCAGTGTCACAGAAACAAAGTCAATAGCAACTGGACCAAAATGCCTTTGAGACTCAAACTGTGTCAGTAGGGAGTCTTGCTCAAGGGCACTTCAGCAGAACACATGCTACACATGGGATCTTGTCCTCGGGTTAAGTATGAGGGATATGGCTCTGCTAAAACACACTTTTTGACAGAACTATTCATCTACTCACCAAACAAACCGGTTGTTTTTCTCCACACGCACTCTCTTCATGCACAATAAAGTCACTAAAGGCCGAAGGCACAATGCTGCTCAGCACTTCAGCCTGCTGTCTTTGTATTTGAAGAAATGATAACTGATCAAACAAGGAGGTCAGCTGTCTCGTATTTCCCTTGGCGACCCTTATTTGGTCAATTCCAGGCCTTGGTTTGTGTTACACACACAGAGAAAGGCAGACAGGAGCATACAGAGTGGTAGCTAGGGCAGCACACTTATTGGATATCATGATTTCAGTGTCCACAGTTAAAAATAATACGTTAATGGATTATCTCCACCTTTGGATTGTGCTGTGTTAACTGAGAAGTGTCTGTAGTTCAAAACAGTCATGGTGTTGATTTACCATAAGATGCACCATGTGTGTCACAATGCTGACTTACTGTAGATTGAGGTCTGTTTCTTATATGTCAAATATAAAAGCTGAGAAACCCCATAGTGGACTTACTTTCTGTAACTTTATATCAACTCCTGATTTATTTTTGAACGTTTTATTGTCTCCCAGTGAGCAGCACTGGTCCGAAGATCAGTATGTGGGCTTGTAAGTGGGAACATACAGAATTGATCTCCAGTATGGCTGGAGTATTCAGGGTTAAGAAGCAAAGTAGCAGCACCTGCCCCTCCCTTCTTACCACCATTGTGGTGTCCTTAAACAAAGCCCTTATATTACCAGCAGCAACCACAGTGGGCAACAGATAAGATGGTGTTTGCTCTATGTCTGAAACCCGCCCAGCAGAGAGTGCTGGCGAAAAAAGAGCATTCAAGTCCTGTGAACCTACCCTGAATAAATAAAGGTTTAAGAAAAGTCTAATTTGTGTTAGGCCTGATAAAACCCACTGTCCTATTCTTGAGAGGACACTGCAGTGATATTCAGTCTGTCCTTGAGATCATATTATTTTACATTATAATCCCCATAAAGTACAGACATTTGGCATTCACTATACAATGTGCACACTTATGTTACAGCCAACAAGCTACTATGAATATCATTCAGAAACTTGAAACTTGCTGGAGAGTTTTGTTAAGTTATCGCTGTGTTTTGTGCACCTTCATAACTCGGACACTGTGTCCAAATCCGCTTGAACATGTGACCACTGATAGTTGGCTGCAAGACAGCAATGCACAGATGAGCATGTTGTTGAAAATCAAGAGGGCATCAAGCTGCACATATAAATACTGTAAAATGATAAGTATCAAATTGGTAATTTCTTGTATTAAAAAGATAGCTGTACAGCAATAAAATCTCAGATGTAAAGAGTCCTTTAATGCACCAATATGGACTTTTAAGAACAGGTCTCGATGGCCGCTGATAACGTGAGAGAAATCAATAAGAAATAAAGATAATAAATTGTGCACTGTATTGGACTAATTAGGTCAAGCAAAGTGCAAGTGGCAAGATGTGATTCATTGCATTTAACAATAGAGTTTGGACAGGTTGTTTTTATTATCGAATAATCTGTCTGATCATTTTCTCCATTAATCGATTAGTTGTTTGGTCCATAATATGTAAAATGTACACTTAGCAAGGGGGTAACTAAGTAATGTTAAGACTTGTGCATTTCTACATGAATCTCACCTTGTGAAGCTTTGAACAATGAATAAATTATGCAATAAATCAGATAATACTGATAATTTACCCTAAACTCTAAAATCTCTAAATCCGACTGCAAATCTGTCTAGAACAGACACACAGAACATGGTGGCAAGTGGGAGGAAATGTTTATTGTCAGTACAAATAGACATCTGACAACAAACCAGCTGCTTTAACCTGTGTGTGTGTGTGTG